GATATTTGTTTTAGTACATGCTATACAAGAATTTTCTAAAATAATTGTTCCAGTTTGTACTTTTTATACTTTCACCAGCAGTGTACAGTTTCCTGTGATTGCTTTCAATCTAGGAGAGCTGAAATTTGTCGTTTCAGAAATCAGTGACTTTTGAGGATGTGGCGGTGTACTTGACTAAGCAGGAATGGGCCCGCCTCACACTTGCTCAGAAGGACCTCTACAAGGATGTGATGCTGGAGAACTTTTCACATATGGAGTTTATAGGTAAGGTCTCTGCTGAAGATCTCTGCTTGGGTCCTCACAGGTTAAAGAGCTTGGCTTACAAGTGTTAGCCAACTCCAAATGGCAAAGGCAGAGGTTGGCAGATATGGAAAACTCTGGAACTTACTGACTTCTAAGGCTTTCTTTTTTTCTATCATAAAATTTTTTCTCATCTGCATTAGAGATGATTCTCTGGGTATAGCAGAACTTGGTGTGTATCTTGGTAACCTCAGCCTAATATTGAACCTTCAAATTCTTTTGAAAAAACCAGCTCCTTTGGTAGGACTCATGTATTTGTTTCTGATAATGGTAATTTGATATTCTCTTAAAAAGAAGGTAAGAATATTTCCTTTACATAAAAACCTACCTCCCTTGGAAACAGTATTTGGAGACTTTTTCCCATCATCCCTTCCTGAAATTCTTTAGGGGAGTTTTTTTTCTTTGTTTTATTGAGACAGGGTCTCTTAATATAGCCCTAGCTGGGCTAGATCTCACTATGTAGACCAAGTTTGATGCAAACTCACGGATCCACCTGCCTCTGGGATTAAAAGTGTGCATCACCATACCCAGTTCTATAGCCCACCCAAGAATTACTCTCACCTTCTCTGTGTGTTCTGCAGCCATAGACTCAAATGAACTCCTGAGACTCTGCTCATTGTGATATGTTTTCTTCCATTAGAGCCATCCACTTCGAAACCAGCTCTGATCACTCAGCTGGAGCTAGGAGGAGAGCCAGACTTCTCTCAGCCAAAGGAAGCCTTAAGCAGTGGGGGCTGGAAAGAAGGTCTTTTCGCAGGTGAATTAAGCAAGGACTGTCTTGTATGGCTTTGTCTTTCCCTTTTGACAAAATGATCTAAGTCTAGACCCATAGAATGCATTGATCACACGGTTTCTGATGGCTTTATTACTCATTGCTCCCTTTAAACTGTAACAAATATCTTTGGAACTCACTCTGTAGACCAGGCTGGCCTCAAACTCACAGAGGCCTGCCTCTGCCTCAGAAGTTCTGGGATTAAAGGTGTGCATCACCACACCCAGCTTAAGAATATTTATTATATATTGTTGGTTTCATTATGACATTTCATACATGTGTATAATAAATTTTGGTCATGTTAACCCCCAACTATCCCCTCATTCCCCTGATTCCTACTGAGCCCCCTTCCTCTTCCCAACTAGTCCTTTGTCTACATTTCATGTCTTGTTAGGGTTACTTGCAGTGTTTTATCATCAGTGTTTTATAAACTGAATTATTTTATCCCTGGGGAGAGTTAGAATAAAATTCTAAGATATGGTTACTTTTTCTACTTTTCCTCCAGCTTTACAAAGTTAATACATTTGGTGTATCTTGTATACTGGCAACTAGAACAAATAAAAAGTATTTTTGTTTTTCATGATAATGTTAAAATTTTGAAAATTTTAAAATATTGAAATATGTTAAGGTAGCTTATGGATACTGTGTTTTTCCTCTCCTTTAGCGTACATCACAAAACTGAGAAAATATGCTGATCTAGTTGAAAGACTAGTACATGAAATGAAAGCAAACATTGATTCAAGTCAGCGGTTCGGAGACAACAGGAAAAAAGCTTAATTCTTGACCTTTAAATACCAGTTTGCCAAGGAAGGAGTAAATTAAAGTGCAATGTTAAATGATGTCAAATGCAATTTCTTTTTTGTAGTCATGTAGATTTCTACAGACTTAATGTTTTTTAGCTCATTAAAGTTGTTCGTTTTGATGCACAAAGCACAGGTACTCATGTTCTTGTTTTAACACTCTTATGAAGACACAATTCATTAACTATGCAATTTACCTGGTTGTTGTTGTTGTTGTTATTTTTGATAGGGTCTACCTAGTCCTGGCCCACCTGGAAGTCACTGTGGACCAGGGTGGCCTCCATCTCACAGAGCTCTGCCTGCCTCTGCCTCCCGAGGGCTGGGATTAAAGGTGCTTGCCACCATGACCAGCAGAATTTACCTATTTAAAATGAAATACAAATACCCTATTTGGTGGGCAAAGAGATTCTGAGCAAGTAGAAATGGGACTTGCAAGTCCAGCCTTCTGCAGAATATGATGTCGTCTGTAGCCCATTTCAAGTTTGGGCTGGAATCTAGACAAGAAAATTCTTTGAACAAGTGCTATAAAACTCTAGACAAATTGATCTTAAGAAACTTAAATTTTTCAGGAGGATGGGGCTGGAGAGATGAGTCAGTTGTTAAGAGTACTTGTTACCCTTCAGAGGACCTGAGTTTGAGTCCCAGCACCCACATCAGGCAGCTTACTACCTGTAACTCCAGCTCCAAGGGATCCAACCCCCTCTTATAACCTCCAAAGGTATGCACACACGTGGCATAAACTCACACACACTAAAATCAATCTTAAACTATTTATTGTAAAAGCTTTAAAGAATATTTTGGGGCTGGAGAGATGGCTCAGTGATTAAGAACACTGGTGGTTCTTGCAGAAGACCCGGGTTCGAATCCCAGCACCCACAAGGCAGCTAACAACTGTAACTCCAGTCCCAGGGGATCTGACAGACTCTTCTGACCACCACGGGCATTGCATGACATGGGTACAGTTACCTACATGTAGGCAATACACGCATACACATAAAAAATAAAATAATAAATATTTTCCAGAGGAATACTCACAGAATTTAAGATAGCTTCAGGGATGCTCTCTCACATGCACACACACACACACACACACACACACACACACTAAAAATCAATCTTAAAAATATTTATTGTAAAAGCTTAAAATTTCCAGAGAAATACATGATTTAAGATAGCTTCAAGGATGCTCTGGCCTCAATGAACAAAGTTGAGTTTGACTGATGAATAAAAGGCTATTGCAAAAATCCTCTAGACCAGTCTTGAGCTTTTTTCTGTATATACTCTACAGAAATCTATGTGTTTTGTGACCTGACTGGACACTGGCTTGTTGCCATATCTCCAGGTTCAGCTCTGTTCCTCTCCCCTCCCATTTTTAACACAAAGTTGAGGGCTATGGCATATCTGTTTTCTGGTCTCCTCAGTAAGCAGGAGGATCACTTGAGGCCATAAGTTTAAGACCAGTCCTGGGCAACATCATCTTTTTAAAGGGTTTTTAAACTAAATTTCAGTAGTTGATATATTCAGTATCACCAGAGTTCCACATTTTATCTTTATAATCGTGTTTTATTTAAGTGTTTGCAGTGTTGTAGGAATCACTTCATTTAGTTTAAATTAGTTTGTCTTGGAAAACTATTGAGAATATTTATACAGTTTGAGAGATCTTGGTTTCACTAGTTTCTGTATAAAATACTGTTTTATGAAGTATCAAAGTGACACTGTCAGACTGAAAAATGACCATTTTCAGCAGTACACAGTATAATTCATTAAATGTACAAATTTACGAAGATCTTTTTAAACTTAAAATACAACTGTAAGAGTTGGTTATTGACTGTTACGATGGCTGATCTTGTTAAATTGATCAGATTTAGGATCACTATGGAAACACACCTTTGAGCACATCTGTGAGGAATTTCCTCGATTAGGTTAATTGAGGTGGGAAGACCCACCCTAAATGTGGGTAGGGTCCTGAACGGGATAAAGAGGACAAAGGAGCTAACACCAGCATGCATCTCTGCGCTCCCTATGGGTACAATATGACCAACTACTTCATGGTCTTGTTGTTATGACTCTCCTGCCATGATGGACTGTAACCTCAAACCATGAGCCAAAATAAACTCTTACATTGCTCTGGTCAATTATTTTGTCACAGCAACAAGAAAAATAATAAAATTGACGCTAGGAAATAGGGCTGTGACAAAGCTGACTGTGCAGTTCTTAGGCATTTGGAACTGGTACTTGTGTGAGGGAAGTAGAAGGACTTTGGAACTTTGAATTTTCTAGAAAAGTCCAAGAATACTGTAAGCAGAGCTTAATGGATCATTCTAGTGAGATTTAAAAGACTAGAATGCTGAGAGAAATGGGACAGTAGAGGCACAGTTCATGAGATTTCAAGGACTCCACCAGGAACTGGGCTAGAGGCCATTTGTTGATGAATTGGTAAAGAATCTGCTCAGGTCCTGAAAACTTGAGTGAGGCCGGATATAGGCGGAAAGGACTAATTTGTGTGGTGGAATGTTAGGATATGCTGAATAGGTGAAGCAGGATTGCTTGCATTCAGGAATTATGGCCTGTAGCGTACTATGCCAAATTGGATGTCTGCACTAAGTTCAGCATCAATATGGTAACCTCCATATTGGGAGCAGGGGACCACCAGGTTGCCTGAGGAGGAGTGAGCTAGCGTAGGTCAGAAACGGAGAAAGTAGTGTTCTGCCATGGTCTCAGTTTCAGCTCCTGCCTCCAGATTCCTGTTTTGAGTTCCTGTCTTCTCAAAGATGGACCGTCAAAGAGATGGACTGTCACTTAGAAGTGTAAGATGCAGTAAACTTTCCTCCCCAAGTTGGTTTTGGTCATAGTGTTTTATCACAGCAACAGAAGGCAAACTAGAACATGGAGGAACTTTCAAGACAGGATAGCATTCAGTGTGGTGATGGCTATTGCTCTCATCCAGATGTGCAGTTAGAGGGCAAAGAATGGAGCAGAAGTCTATGAAAAATGAAGTTTGCTGAAGAAAATAGTATGAGTTTGTTTCAGACAAGGCAGTGTCAAAAGGAGCTGTCATTGTTAAAAGGAAATTGGAGGCTGCAGAGGTGGCTCTGGGTTAAAAACACTGGCTGCTCTTGCAGAAGTCTATGGTTCAGTTCCCTAGCAACCATCGGTCACTCTACTTTCAGGGATTCCAACATCCTCTTCTGGTTTTCCAGGGGTTCCACACCCTCTTCTGGTTTCCTGGGGTATTGCATGATGTACATACAGGCAAAACATTCATACACAAAATAAAAATAAAAAAGGAAATTATTACCATTAAAGAGGAGCCTGGTACTGTATTAGGATAACAGGTAAGGGACCCAGAGGACAAGACCCCACTCATTGAAGACTTTGTTTTGTGAAAATGCAAATTCTTTAGAAAGTAGAACACAATATAAGAATTTGACTTAAGGAATTCCAAGCTCAAAACCACCCAGGGAAGAGTCCTTAAGGTAGGTCGTCACACAAAAACTAATGCAACTCTGGTTCAAGAGGCCCAGGCCCCATCCCTAACTGGCAGTAGAGCTTGCCAGTGTTGTCCACATGATACTGGTTTTTCAGGCATGAAAAATTGAGAATGGGGGTCAAGGAGGCTTCTGCGAGGGCTAAGGCTGGGGTTCTAGTAGCGCACTTGCCTCATATATATGAGGCCTTAGGTTCAGTCCTTGGTACCAAAGAAAATGTATTAAAATGGAGGTGGTGTCAAGACACCAGAATGCTGCTAAGGCCGGGCAATGTGCAGCAGTGTCTAAATCTCTACAGAGGCTCACATAGGCCACTGCATGTAGCTGTGAAAGTGAAGCCTAAGTTACAATGAAGACCCCAGGATGTCAGAGTCACAGGACACCCTCCAAAAATGTAGGCATGAAGCGGAATTGGTTCAAGAGGCTATGTGTGCTGCAGGCAGAGCTGGGAGGGAAGGGACTACCTAAGCCCTTTGGAACCCAGATGATTTTATCACCAGTCCCAGATGCTAGACATGAATCTGCAGGATTTGGTGTTTTCCCTAATGAGTTTCAATCTTACTTTAATAATTCCTTTCTGTGTCTCTGTTCCCTTTAAGAATGAGAGTGAGAATGTTAAGCTGGGCATGGTGGGGCATGCCTTTAATCCCAGCACTCAGGAAGCAGAAGCAGGTGGATCTCTGTGAGTTCCAGGCCAGCCTGATCTATATAGCAAGTTCCAAGCCAGCTGGGGCTACAGGGAGACCCTGTCTCAAAAAGAAAAAAAATGTTTATTGTAGAGTGTTTATTGTATGTCATTGTATATTGGAAGTATGTAATATTTTTTTATATGAGCTCACAGAGATTGCCTTGAGTCTCCGAAGAGACTTGGACTTTTAAAAAATATTGGAATTGTTAAGGAATATGAGGACTTTTGAAGTTGGATGCATTTTGCATTATGAGATGGCCATGATCCTGTGGGGGAGGAGTGGAAGATTATGACTTAAAAGTTATATGTTTGAGTGTTCAATGGACAAGGGGTAGAGCTGTGATGGTTAATATTGTCAACTTGATGGGATTTAGAATCAAGTCTGTGCATGTCTGTAAGTCATTATCTATAGTAGGTTAAGAAGTTTGAATTCATTTCCACTGTAAGTAGATATATGACTTGATAATAGATTATAGGAGTCGTAGACTTAAGAGTTTCACAAAAGGATTCTAATAGCATTTGAAGATCCTACTGTAGGAAAATGGGCCTTATAGGAAGCTGTTTGTGCCTGAACCTCACAGGTTGTGAATACGAGCTTGTTCTGTTTTGTGAATATGAGCTGGTGCTGTTTTACATCTTCAAGGCCAATTTCACCAAGGTGCTGCATCTAATATTAGCCAGTGGATGCAACTGACATTTTATAAATGATTGATTTATTAAAAAAATCAATTTGTGGCAGCTGGAGAGATGGCTCAGTGGTTCAAGGATACTGGTTGCATTTGCAGAGGACCCAGGATCAGTTTCCAGCACTCACATGGCAGCTGAA